GAAGTGCATCAGACACAAATAAAAGACAAAAAGCATGAAAGGATATGAGCCGACATGAACGATCGCGTGTTAAATTTGTTTTTGAGGAGGCGACACTTTGATAATGTTACTGCCCTAAGCACATTGTGCCCAGGGGCCCCTGCAATGATAATCCGGCCCTGATCCAGTATATATGTCGTTGGTCAGATTAGGTTAGTGACTGAAGGGATTTAACAGTAATATTAGAACAATCCTGTCAACAACGGTTCATTTCGTGTTGTTCTACGTTCCCCCTGTTTCTGTCTACAACAAGGAGTATGGCAAGCCATTTTAGTATTTATTCAACTACACCTCCCTGTATTTCCTGTTCTATAATTTATCCTTGTCTAAATAATATTCTTACTGATGAAATTAGAAAAGATATGAACAAGTAGAAATTACAATTCGTAATATTCACAAAAACAACTGCACAAGTAGGACTCATGAAGGAGTCTCCATCCTTCAGAGCTAACCTGACCAGCTGTCAGTTAAACCTTTTTGTCTTCTTACAGGAACTCAAAAAGGCTTTTAGGCAAATATAATTAAAGGTGTGGAACACTGAGAAAACATTTGAATGATTATTTCTGATTCTAACGGGTCACTCTGAGTGTTTCATGCAGGCTGACAATAGTCTACCGCACCTATCTCCTGCATTAGCTTCTGATGGAAAACAGAGGGTGAAGCTCTAAGGTTAGAAAAACCTGACAGATCTACGTCACACTGTCACTTAACATTCATGGACTCACCCATCTTGGGTCACGACGGGGAAGGCTGTTGTTGGTTTAGCACCCAGGAAACAGCAGAGAACGTCTCAGCTAGTAGAAGCTAACTTAGCATTAGCAACTCCACCACACAGTAGGACTCCTCCAGGCTTGTGTTATTGGCGGAGATAAAACATCAACAATGCAAATCAGTAGTAGAGTGAATTTAAGCAAAATCTCTGAAAAGGAACAGTAAATACTTCAGGGGTTAAAAACCTTTATAGAATGTAATCATGTCTTTTATCAATAATTCATAGAATGTGTGTGTGATTTATATGTGTGAGTACAGATGTGAAATCAATTCATGTCATGGTAATCATGATTATTTCTCAGACTAGAATCGTACCACCAACATTTATAATCATTGCAACCCTAGTCCGAACACTGCTGCCATTTAACGACTGGAGGCAGTTTAGCATCCATACATGAAGATAATTACGGTGCACATGTGGATAATTTATGTAGCAAGAATGTTATTCTCCCAAGAAGCACCTTAGGGGAAAGCTCAGTGTTAGAGTGAAGTGTGGACTGGTAAACCTGTAGGAAACTTCTTCAGAAAGAGCAGAGGGAGTGCAACTCTTGAGCACCTGGTGGAACATTCCAACTGCACCCTTGGCAGAGGGGTGAAGTTCTTATGTGCTGTACGTATCTGGAACGCAACAAACTCAGCAGATGTAAGCTTTGTAGCAATTAATACATATTATTTATGACCAATAAGATGTAATATTCCATAAAAACTTTCAAAGATCAACCTGATTGATCTTTGAATGTTTAATCAGAAGATTATAGTTACTTTTACTTCTTCAGGGACCATAAACACACTTCGTATTTATTCAGACAGAGTCAGTATGTAGTTTATAAAATGAATTTAATTATTTTTCCTAAACTAATAATTAATACGTGACGAGATATGAATAATGAGATGTGGTGTGGTGGATGTGAAATGTTGTGATGGAAGCTGGATCTTGTAGCAACCGTTCTTTGTATCTGAGAGAAATTGTGAAAAAGAATTTATTGTTGGTTATAAACTAGAGAGTTGTTTATTAAAAACAGCATCAGACGCAATCTGTCATGCCAAGTCTACCCACCCTTGGTGTGGAGGTTCTCATTTGATCCGGGGGAGTCGTGCGGGTCACTGCCGGTGGAGTGAACTCTGATATCAGGAACCCGTAGATAGTTCCGATAAGACTCGTCCGGTCCGAGATCCCTCCAGGTGAAGGCAGGAAGCTGGAATGCTTGTTTGCATTTAAGGTTGATGTTTGCTTGGCTCTTAGAAGAGCCGGTTGTCTGGTTTCAGCCGTACCGTTACAGAGAGGCTTTGACAGGAGGTCAAATGAGATTGTTTCAAAAGAGGCTTCTTTCCTGATTTGGCCGAATCGGGAGTCAGCTGAAAACTGAATGAATCAGGAAGTCATTCTTGTTTTAATAACCCGCAACGCTATCAGTTCTAGCCAAGTTCGGCAAATCAGAATTTGACACGTTTCTGAATATTTACCTGCATCCCTCAGAAAGCCACGCCTTCCTACAGATACAAAAGGTTTGTAACACTTTGTGAATGAGAATTACAAAAACACTTATGAGGTGAATACTAACCTTAATATGTAACTTATTGTAATGTGTATGAGTGTAAACAGTGATTAAGTTGTTAAATCAAACACATAGTGATCTGTGATACAAACGGCTTATTGTAAGAACAATATTCATTTCAAATTCATTGATTTAAGCACAGATTATTCAAACATTTCATTTAAACATCTTGTTCATTCATCACATATGATTATTTAACTTATAACTGTAAAATCATGGAGTCTTCACTCGTTCAAAGTGAAGAATGCTGACGTCTGGCTTTCACGCAGAGAGTGCAGGAACCTTGGGTGAAAATGTTTGTTTGAATGTTTTGTCTTCATGGTATGTAAACAAGCACTGAGCAGAACCTTCTGGTATCGCAAGGCCAAATAGAAAGTGGATTTATTTCTGTAGATGAAAGGTTATTATGTTGGTCAATATATACAGGTGAAAATGGATCCTTTTGGATGTTACAGCTTCTATTGTCAGACATACAGGGAGTGCAGAATTATTAGGCAAATTCTGGTGGATGTGTGGTGTTGTGATGGAAGCTGGATCTTGTAGCAACCGTTCTTTGTATCTGAGAGAAATTGGGAAATCTGGGTGTAAAAGAATTTGTTGTTGGTTATAATATGTTGGTTATATTTGTTGTTGGACTTGCCTGGACTCCTGTTCAAAAAAAACAAAAAACAAATATATACCCATTTCAATTATTTATTTTTACCAGTGAAAACAATATAACATCTCCACATTCACAAATATACATTTCTGACATTCAAAAACAAAACAAAAACAAATCAGTGACCAATATAGCCACCTTTCTTTGCAAGGACACTCAAAAGCCTGCCATCCATGGATTCTGTCAGTGTTTGATGTGTTCACCATCAACATTGCGTGCAGCAGCAACCACAGCCTCCCAGACACGGTTCAGAGAGGTGTACTGTTTCCCCTCCTTGTAAATCTCACATTTGATGATGGACCACAGGTTCTCAGTGGGGTTCAGATCAGGTGAACAAGGAGGCCATGTCATTAGTTTTTCTTCTTTTATACCCTTTCTTGCCAGCCACGCTGTGGAGTACTTGGACGCGTGTGATGGAGCATTGTCCTGCATGAAAATCATGTTTTTCTTGAAGGACAATGCTCTTCTGCAGACTTCTTCCTGTACCACTGCTTGAAGAAGGTGTCTTCCAGAAACTGGCAGTAGGACTGGGAGTTGAGCTTGACTCCATCCTCAACCCGAAAAGGCCCCACAAGCCCATCTTTGATGATACCAGCCCAAACCAGTACTCCACCTCCACCTTGCTGGCATCTGTCGGGACTGGAGCTCTCTGCCCTTTACCAATTCAGTGGTGGTCGTCTTTCAGCCTTTCTTACCTTGGCCATGTCTCTGAGTATTGCACACCTTGTGCTTTTGGGCACTCCAGTGCTGTTGCAGCTCTGAAATATGGCCAAACTGGTGGCAAGTGGCATCTTGGCAGCTGCACGCTTGACTTTTCTCAGTTCATGGGCAGTTATTTTGCACCTTGGTTTGTCCACACGCTTCTTGCGGCCCTGTTGACTATTTTGAATGAAAGGCTTGATTGTTCGATGATCACGCTTCAGAAGCTTCGCAGTTTTAAGACTGCTGCATCCCTCTGCAAGATATCTCACTATTTTTGACCTTTCTGAGCCTGTCAAGTCCTTCTTTTGACCCATTTTGCCAAAGGAAAGGAAATTGCCTAATAATTATGCACACCTGATATAGGGTGTTGATGTCATTAGACCACACCCCTTCTCATTACAGAGATGCACATCACCTAATATGATTAATTGGTAGTAGGCTTTCGAGCCTATACAGCTTGGAGTAAGACAACATGCATGAAGAGGATGATGTGGACAAAATACTCATTTGCCTAATAATTCTGCACTTCCTGTAACAAGAAATTATATACTTGTATAAAAGCTGAATTATGACTATTGATTGACAGCAACAAATTTCCTATCAGAAAACAGGAAAGATGTGAGGAATGGACAAAAGAACCAGTCAGCAGATGGAACCGGCGGGATTCGATGGGTGAGGGTCAGTTGTTATTAAAGTCATTATAACAATAATAAATAGTTACATTAACATTTACTTTACAGAAGTTTCAAATAATTGTATCATGAGACAAATTCAAGTCAATTAAAATTAAACAGAATTTTTGTCAAAAGACTAAAACTAAATTAATATTATTCAGAGCCTGGTGATCTGTGCACACTGTAAACTAACTACCCTAGAAATAAGTTTGCCCAGGGTCCATCATAGCAACGACCCTCCATCCAAAATGGTCCTCAGTACGTAGTATGTACAGGAACACACACACACACACACACACACACACACACACACACACACTTTCATGTCTGTGCTGAGCTAACCTCTGTCTGGATCTGAGTCTCTCTGTTGCAGGTGGGTGTGTTCCGGAGAGCAGCTGTTGCAGATCATCTCATCAGAGGTCAGAGGATTTAAGGAGCGGCGTGACAACTCACCAGTGCCGGATGATTGCTCAGTATTGGGTAGTCAAGCCTATGCGCTTGCCTGTGTTGAGATTTGTTTGCTTCCCGTGTTTCTCAGCGATCCTCATATTAACCTGCCCTATTCCTCCGACTCACTCAGGTTCTTCTCGTCCACTAAGACCTCACTCCTCTTCAAGAAAACTCCCTGGATCAACCCTGCCTGCCAGCCATGCCGCTCACCTCCGACCGCCTGCTCTGCACTGCTCACCTGCCAGTCTGGGCAAATTTGGACTCCTGTTCCCCTGTGCTCAGCTCCCAGTCATCGTCTCTGTCTCTCAACCATCCTGCTCAGCCAGACCTGACTTGCCCTTCTCTCGAGCTCCCAAAACAGCCAGGAAACCGTAAACCTCTTGTCACTTGGCTCTATTTACAAATTAACTTTAATATACTCACATCTGTTTCCTCTTCAGGATCTACCGGAGCCCCGGACCTCAGATCTCCTCATACAACTTAAGCAAGCATAATAAATAACTTTTTACTAACCTTCTGTCTCCCGTGGTGACTCTACATGTCGTGGGTCAAAAGTTTACACACACACACACACACACATACACGTTGCCACAGTTACCTTGAAATAGTAATCTGAGTACTGACTATTGATTACTCCTTCCAAAAGTAACTTGGTTACTTTACTGATTCATTTATTTAAAAGGTAACTTAAGTTTACGAGTTACTTTATTAGATACTTTCAGCGTCTACCAAAAACACTCTCCGCTGCCTCACCATAAAAACTACAACTGGTTTTGCCAACACTCGAGTGCAAATACTTTTTAACAGTAATGTCAACAACGTATCTTCTTACATGTTAAGTTGAACTTAAAACCTGCTTGACATAATGCATGTTTGTATGAAAATAAGTTATTCTTGACCGCACTTAAAATAAATAGTTCATAAAAAATAAAACGCACAGAGTGTACAACGAACCTTATTATTTTCATCTTTAGCTGATACAAACTCAAAATAACGGGTCGACAACCTTTTCCCATCAAAGAGCCATCATTACCCGTTTCCCACAGTAACGAAAACACTGGGAGCCACAGCAGCCGCGGCGGCCCACCCTAAGGCCCTGTCCACACGTAGCCGGGGATCTGCCAAAACGTAGATATTTTTCTACGTTTTGGCCTGTCATCCACACAAACTGAGTTTTTTCACACGAAAACGGATGTTTTTAAAAACTCCGGCCAAAGTGCGTTTTCTCCGTTTTGGGTGTCTGCGCGTGGACAGACAAAACCGGAGTTTTAAGGTCCGCAACGTCACTTTCCGCGACAAAAAAATGCTGACATCACGTGTGCGACCTGTGTTTACACTAGCCGACAACATGGATGCCCTCAGAGCTGCGCTCGCTTTATCAATTGTCCAAGCACTTTCTCCTTGTTTGTTTTTGCAAGCGGAATTACTGCTCCTTGCGGAAGACCACAGACGAAGGACGAGGTTAAGAACGGGGGAAGTACTGCCGCCTACAGGTCTGGCATGTCCTTAACAACGTATTTATCCGGGTACGTGTGGACAGAGTTTTGTTTTAAAACGAGGTGGTGTGGATGCAAGTTTTTGGAGGGGAGGATATTCGTTTAAATAAAAAAAAACGGCTACGTGCGGACTAGGCCTAAGACAGCCGAGAGCTGCTTTAACCAATCACTACAGGTGGCAGCAACCAATACCAGTCGCTCATGTACCTTAAAGTTATCTTTCAACAGAAGACGATAAATAAAAGTTTGTATAAAACTGACCCAGAACTTGTAGCCCGTCTGTGTCGACGGTACTTTGATATTTTTCACAGTTAGTGGTTTTAATGTTGAGCAGGTGACACTTTTTGACGCGTCACACACGTCTCCTTTTAAAACATGTTTAAAGTGTTCAGAATACAAATCCAGGCTCTGTCTCGTTGGACTGTTGTAATTCAACTTGGTGCTGAACTAAACTTTACATTAAACAATGTTGAAAGGGTAAGAAAAGGATCCGATCAATTTGTTTTTGCCTCATTAACAGAGATGGAGATAACAGCGTAGTGTGCATGGCTCTGGTGTTATTCAAGTTTAATGTTCCTGTTTGCAACAATCTTCACAAGAAGGCAAAACAGTTAAATGACAGGAATATTTCCCGTATTTGACCATTTATTTTGACGGAGAAACCTCATGGCTGCAGACGCGCTGATCAGAATCAGAAAAACTATCTATCCCCTAGGGGCAATTAAAATAACAGCAGAGCAGAATGACGTTGGACATACGGACATTGAATAAATAGGCAATAAGAAAAGTAATAAAGCAGCAAGAAGATGGATAAAATCAGTAAAATATGCAAGAATCACTGAGTAAGTGAATAAAGTGACTAAAGTGTCGGCTGTCTAAAAATTAAATATATGGAGAGTCCGGGGGGGGGGGGGGGGGGGGGGTGCTTATCTGATCTGCTGGAGCTAAAGAGCAGAATGGCTTTGGGGATGAAGGTGGCTCTCCTCCTCTCAGTCTTGCAGGATATGCAGCGTAGGCGTCGCCCAGTGGGGAGCCATTGAAATGCGGGGTGAAGAATGTGAGAGGGGTTGTGGAGGATTTTGGCTGCCTGTCTCAGGGCTTGTTGATAGAAAACCTGAGCAAGAGTTCTGACAGGCAGGCCAACGATTTTGGAGCACACTGATGCAGTGTGCTGCAGTCTGTTCCTGTTCTGGAGGCTAAGGTAGTAGAACCAGCCAGTGATGGAGAAGGTCATGATGCTTTCCAGGAAGGCACAGTAAAAGGTCATCATGATTGAGGAGCTGACTCGAAAGGAGTTGAGCTTCCTAATAGGGGTTGTACGAAATAGTCGACTAGTCGACTTCACGGCTCTGTAGTGACTTTTTATGCCTGTCATCAACTAGTCGCTGTCACGTGATAATGACTGACAAGGTGCAGTCCTCGGAAAAGACAGCAGGTGATGAGCCCCTGCGCGTCTGGATCGAGGCGGAGGTGACGCACTGTGCGGTAGACACCGGCGGTAAAACGGACATTTAACCAAACTGTGACCTTTTCCCTCTTGCAATTTAACCTTCCCCTCACCCCCATCCTAATCTTAACCAGTTTGTGCATGCAAAGCTCTGATCGTTGACGTGCGCTCCAGACATTGTGTCCTGAGCACCGCCAAATCAGGTGTCACCACCTCAAAAACAAATTAAACACGCGATCGTTCATGTCGGCTCATTTCCTTTCATGTTTTCTGTCTGTTATTTGTGCCTGATGCATTTCGCTGCTGCGGAGCGAGGCGCATCACCTGTTGTCCTCCGGTGACGCGCCCCCAAGATTCCACTATCTCTCCACTCCGGCATGAACTCCGCAGCAAAAACGGTCCAGTTGTAGTCAGCCGGCGAGCAGCGGCACTCCGCTGTTTTTGCGGTCGGTAGATCTTTTAGAACTGCAGCTCAAAGGTAACTCATAAGGTGAATATATATGAACCCAGGTAGCAGTGTTTCTTTAGGATTGAGAGGAGATGCAGGAAGATAATAAACAGGCAGGACAGAAAAACAGTCAAATAAAAACAAGTTAGTTTTTGTACCTGCTGGTTGCAACAAACAGACACCATTGAAGGTAATCAGAAGTGAGGAACAGAAAATGAAATAATTACTTTAATGTTTAGAGCAGCAGGAACTCCGAGAGGCTGCAGGCACATCAGTGAGTTTGCGGCCGCTGCGCAGGGGGAGGGGAGGGAGGGCTGAAGCAGAAACTACCGTTGTTAAAAGAAATGTGTTAACTTAGAAAATGTGGGCGCAATTTTAATTGTCAAAAACTCCAGCGAACCTACCGACCGATCCCCCCCCCCACCCCCCCCCCCCCCACCCCCGCCGCTTCCGGCGTATGACGTCATCAACGACTAGTCGAAGTCGACTCGACTTTCATTACTTAACTGTCGACTTTAAAAAAAATAAAGTCGTGCAGGCCCTACTTCCTAAGGAGATATAGCCGTTGGTGGCACTTCCTGAGAATCTCCTCCGTGTTAGCAGAGAATTTCAAGACGTTTTCAAAGGTGGTTCCCAGATACTTGTACTCCTCCACTGGCTTCCCATGGATAATGGTGGTGACTGAAGCATCCGGATCCCTCTGCCTCCTGGAGAAAGTCACCACCATGTCTTTGTATGTCTTACATGACAAATCGTCTTCATACTGCAGGGTTACTTGTGGAGTACCACAGGGTTCAGTGCTTGGACCAATTCTTTTTACTATATATATGCTCCCAATTGGTAAAATCATTAGACAGCATGGGATAAACTTCCACTGTTATGCTGATGATACTCAGTTATATTTATCCATTAACCCTGATGAACCTAATCGGTTGGGTAGATTGCAGGCTTGTCTTGAGGACATAAAAAATTGGATGACTCTAAACTTCTTGCTTTTAAATCAAGAAAAGATGGAAGTTCTCATCTTTGGACCAGAAATCCAGAAAAGGAAATTGCTTAGTCAATCACCTGACCTGAATGGCATTACATTAATCTCTGAGAACAAAGTAAGGAACCTTGGTGTTATCTTTGACCAGAACATGTCATTCAAATCCCAGGTTATACAGGTTTGTAGGATTTCCTTTTTCCACCTTTGGAATATTGCTAAGATTAGAAGCATCCTTTCCAGGAGTGATGCTGAAAAACTAGTTCATGCATTTATTACATCAAGACTGGATTACTGTAATTCATTGCTCTCAGGAAGTCCACAGAATGTAGTTAAACGTCTTCAGCTTGTCCAAAATGCTGCAGCTAGAGTTCTGATGAGAATTAAAAAGAGAGATCATATCTCTCCTGTCTTAGCTTCCCTACATTGGCTGCCTGTTAAATTCAGAATAGATTTTAAGATCCTCCTTCTCACATGTAAAGCTCTTAATAATCAAGCTCCATCATACATCAGTGACCTGATATGTTCCTAACTGAGCACTTCGCTCTCAGACTGCAGGTTTACTGGTGGTTCCCAGAATATCTAAAATTAGGATGGGAGGCAGATCTTTTAGTTATCAGGCTCCTCTCCTGTGGAACCAGCTCCCAGCTTTAGTCCGTGAGGCAGACACATTGTCTACTTTTAAGACTAGCCTTAAACATTTTTATTTGATAGGGCCTATGGTTAAAATCTGATGTTAGCCTAAATCTGGACAAGTGGGGGAGTACAGGGAGGTGGAGTGTACAGTCAGTAAAGACGGCTCTCCCTTGCCCTGCCTCCATCTAAATAGGATAGATTATCCAGAGTTATCTCTGTAGTTATGCTGCTATAGGCTTAGACTGCTGGAGGACACACTGACCACTTTTCACACTCTACTGCTTTTTTCTACAGTCTGCTCTTTAACTGTACTATACTATAATCCCAATCCCTAAATCAAGTACTTCAAAGGAACTGTCTGACTTTAGACCAGTAGCACTCACATCACTTGTGATGAAAACTTTTGAAAAAATCCTAAAATCCGAAATTTTATCTCTGACAGAGGGGAGACTTGACCCACTTCAATTTGCCTACCAGCAAAATAAGGGGGTAGAAGATGCA